ACACACACACATATATATAACCATTTAGGTTATTAATTAATTTTGTTTACTTATAATATTATAATAATTCATAATAATTTGGTTTACTACAATGTTTACTACAAGAATTTGTGATAATTCACAATTACTTCCGTTACTGTAAATAGAGACTGATATGGCAGGTCACCTGAGTAATGGGACCCTTGCAGTAACCGCAGCGAGGGGAGAAGAGGTTCTGGTAGTCTTTCTCACAGTACGGCTTGCCGTCTCTCTCAAAGAAGCCACATGTGCCCAGTTCCTCCCTGCATGCCGTGCACACAAAGTGTTCTGGATGCCACACCTGACCCAAAGCTGTGATCATCTGCAGTTTGGAATACAGGATGACATGTTTGTTAGTACAGAAAACTGATTAGTAATTTGCAGATTTGTTGTCTGCCTCTTGGTAGTACCTTCCCAGCTATACACTTGCCACAAGAAGCACAGTGGCCTTTGGCAGCTGTCCGGACCCCCATTTTCTCCATGTCTGAGCTGAGAGAGCCCAGCAAGTCATCTATAGCATCCACATTCTTGGATACTTTCTCTGACAGAGGAGGATGCTGTGGTTTCTTAGCCTCTTTTTGCTTTCCACTATCACTTTCTTCAGTTTCCTCCGGTTTTTTGTCTTTCATTGACTTGTGAGCCATTGGAGGTGGGTTTGATGTGGGTTCTGAAACCTATACAAAATAAAGCATTTTTTGTCAATTTTAATGACTTTTCTTTCAGTAATTGACAAGGGGGCATAAATTAGGAACTTTTATATGCTTCTACTGCCCTCTTCTGGTGATACTCATAATGTGCAATAGTGATTTAACATCCAGCAGCTGATGCATGTTTCGCTCACCTCCAGGCCTAGCCCTAGCAGCTCATTCATGATGGAGTCGAGCTCTCGTGTAGCTGTGCCGGGACTCATCACTCCGGCCTCCACGGGGACTGGAACCACACTAGAAAAAGATTCTTCTTATTATTGAACTGCTGAACCTCCAAGGACACCATGTATGCCAAAAGGTATTTTATAAATAAGATACGTCAATGGACAGGCTCTTTCTACTCCAGATTTTGGAGGGAGGTGGGTATACCTGTAGGGATTACATGTCTTTCCTGGACCAGCAACAAATCCAGAGGATTCCGTCTGCAATGGGAGGAGAAAGACATTAGAATGGCTCAGTTTGGGACTAAATACTGTAGATATTTAATAGTTCAAAGTTTGGGGTCGGTAAGGTGTTATTTTTTAAAGAAGTTCATATTTTAATTCAGCAAGGATGCATTAGATTGATACAAAGTGACAGCAAAATAATGTTAAAAAATTATTTATATTTATATCAAATAAATACTTCTTTTGAACCTTCGATTCATCAAAGAATCCTGAAAAAATGCATCATGGTTTCCACAAAAATATGAGGCAGCACAACTGTTTTCAGCATTGATGATAATCAGATTCTTGAGCAACAAATCAGCATTTTAGAATGATTTCTGAAGGATCATGTGACACTGAAGACTGGAGTAAAGACTGCTGAAAATTCAGCTTTGTTGTCACAAGAATAACTTATACTTCAAAATATATTCAAATATATTCAAAGAGTTATATAAAATTGTAATAATATGAGCATAAGAGACTAATCTTACCACCACCAAACTGTTTGTGAAAGTTTTTGAAATTTTAATGCTTTTCAAATTCTTGTTTAAATTCAATTTGAAAATTAATTGGCCTGAAATGTAATTACTTGTTCAAGCTGAGTTGTGTTGTTACTTTTAACCGAGGCTCCCAGTTGGAGAGTTTTGGGTGGAATGGGTGCAGGAACAGTTGAAGTCTGGGTGGAGTTCTGAGCCAACTCCTCTAAAAGCATGTCTGCAATATCAAATTCACACATGTGAAACACCTGCACTGAAATCAGTGAACACTGAACACAAACTTTGATACATACACTGACCAAAAAATAAATAAAGAGCACTGCACTGAAGTAATCATGGTTATGATTGAACTAAAGGAAAGCCACTGTACGTTAGCAATCCGTGTCATTTCCTGAGGAAGTGAAAAGGCACGTCGCTGTCATCGCAACGGATGCAGAACATAAAATAACAAACACATGAATTTCAAACTTTTGCCATGCTTTTTTGCTGACATAGAAATATAGAAATATAGACATGGGTTATCTGACTCACTTCTGTCAAAATACCAAGAAAAATGGGAGCTTAAAAAAAATCCTTCACAAGAACATCAATTTATTCTTAAGAGTGACAGGAGTCAATACTTTTCACATGCAGAGAAGAAAAATAAATCCTTAGTATACCAAAGTGCTACCAGCAAATTTTTTTATTATATACAGTGTGTGTGTGTATATATATATATATATATATATATATATATATACAGTATATATATATATTGGATGACAACACTTCAAACTCTCTCTTAGAACGGCTTGGGTATAAACCTGTATTCAAACCTGTTACATCCTGTTGCATCTTCAGGGACTCTACACTGATGCTGTTGTTTGGTTCAGCAGCATCAGTGTCGATTCATTCATGTGTTTTGTCTATTTTCTAAATTGTCACAGCTTTTCACTGATAATGCACTGGTCGCATTGAAATGTGTGGCATGCTGATGAGTGTTTTAGTCCAATATGAGTAAACCATTGAAACAGTCACAGAAAAATTCACATACCACAAATACCTTTGACCTAAATTTATAGGCCACAGTCTAAATGAGACTACCAGAGAACTGTAGTAAAATGATAGAAAATAAAGATAATCATCTCAGTCTTTGGATTACAAATATGTTTACACTGATTAAGACTTTATTGTTAGAATGACATATAGAATAGACATATAGTTGAACAACTCACCGAGTTCGTCCATTGTGGTCTGGGCTGTGAGATGAGAGGTAAGCAGTGTGCGTTGTGTGTTTCTAGTGATGTGTGGTAGGGTGATCTGATGCATGCAGCTGTGGGTTGAGCCCAGTCTCACATGTCAAACTGATGTTGCTTCCTTTTTGAGTTCTCGTCGTTACACTCCTTATCTCATGTCTTTCACCCTGTTGCATTTTTGCTACCGTTTGCTAACAGGAACTTTGAATGTTTTTAGTGGCTGTGTGGGCCCTATTATAGAAATTAGATGGGAGTGTGTACCCATTTATTCAAATACTTTAATTTTATTACTATTATTAGCCTAGTTGTAGTAGTAATAAATGCAGTGGTATTACAAAACCAAGTGTACTTAGTCTATATTTCAGGAAATTATTGAAAATGTTAAATGTGTAAATTATAGGCTATTGAAATCATGACACACAGTGTATTAAGGTAGTTTGCTTAATAAATGTAAACAATAATGTGCATATTAATAAATTCTGTTATTTTGTTTGCACAGTTATACTTCTTAGAAATTACTTAGATCAAGCCTTTTAATGCTTAAAACACTGAATTATCATATAAAATTATAATATCGCACAGATGTTTGTTTTCGGACTACATTTCCCATAGATCCTAGCTGTGCCGCGAAGACTTCTGGGACAGGAAACTTCCGATTTGCTTTCTGTTTCTGCAGCTCGCTTGACATAATACTCTGGAAGTGATGACATATTTCACATAATCGCACTGAGAAGATGAATTCAGCCAATATTCATAATTTTCTGTGTAGCATCTTTTTCATCGCGAGATATTTTTAATGCTTTTTATACCGACTTTAGCGATAGACTGAGTTGATCGACTGAGCGGGTCCTCCTTAAAAGTCTTATTTGAGGTATGTCAGTGGTTTCTTTCCTGCTACTTACAAGTTGTCAGCTTAAGACATATTATGCACATACATAAATTGAGGCGTGAGGTGGCACTTTCCATGAACAGAGTGCAAAATATAGCCTGAAAATTTTAAAATGTGTTTGTGTTTCCCAACAAAACACTTAATGTTTCAGAACATAATAGTCAACCTCGACTCAATATCAATTAGATTTTATATGAACCGTTTTATATTCTATTCATTTTCTATGAAAAAAAAAATACAGAAAACTATGTCTAAATGATATGGATTGAATGTATCAATCATAATGAGTATAATACAGCCATAATAGTCATAATACAGTAGTCATAATGGATTAATATTAATAAATTAGTATGGTAGCCCTTTATTTATGCAGTTGTGCTGTAACTGTAATTAAAACCATTACAGTGCTCTTACAATACCTTTTGCAAATGTGACATTTTGGAAACCAATGATTGCCATTTATTAAACAATTTATTCATCTGTCTGATGATTTCAGTCCACATTTGTACTACAGCAACGGACATACAAACCTCTCATCATCTTCACCTGATTTCTCTCTCCATCTTCAGTGTCGTTTGAGTGGCAGTGTAATGTCATCCTCTAAAGCAGCGGTTCCCAAACTGGGGTGCACAGACCGACCAGCAGGGGTGCGCGAGAGAATGCTTTTGATGATGCACTTGTTGTTTGTCATTTCTCTGATCACAAATGCAGACAGGGTTTTATGTTTACGCGGCACGATGCAATGCAACGCAACACGTAAAAAGACAGTATAAGTCATTATAATCAGTAATTATGTCCCCACTGGATGCAACAAATGCCTCGTTTGTAATGGGTTTTAATGTTTTGGTGTCGTCGCTCCGGCCGGGACACGCCATCACATGATGGTGAAGGGCGTAATATTTCCGTCTCACGCTTGAGGTATTCGGCCAATCATAACGCACTGGATTGAAGTTGCTTTGGATAAAAGCGTATGCTATATGATTATGTAAATGACTTAGCAGGCAATGTGAAAGCTTACCATATGTGCACCCCTCTTTAATTTTTGGCCACCGCATTAACGTGTGGGTTATTTATGAACTAAACTAAATCATCTGATTAATTGTAATAAATAATAATAAATAAAGTTAGACTAATTTATGTAATCTGCACATTTTTGTATGTATATGTGAATGCATGAACTCCAACAGGCTGGTTGTAATTTTTTTTATTATATTGTAAATTTAAATGGAATATTGACTGTAATTTTAGATAGACTCAACCTTCATGCTCTGAGATTAGTGAGGCATCCTCTCCAACATTTGGGTTAAGATAATTTAATAGTCACATACTCCACTGTCCTACAAGTGATGCACTGGATTTATTTGTTTCTATTAACCCAAATTAGCAAAATGTGCATCTAAACATAAAATAAATCTTAAATCTAGATAAAATGTCATAATAAGAAGTCATAAAATAATATCATAAATATATTTCAAGAAGACAACACTTCTTTCACACAAAATTTTAATGGTATAGCAAGATATAAAATAATAAATATCATAAATATATTTCAAGAACACAACACTTCTTTCACACAAAATTTTAATGAAATTTTACAAAACAAAAATCAATATTTACATTATAGTAACAGTAACCCACTGGTAGATTCACAAATGAGGGTTGTGTAAACAAGACACACGGATATCTCTTTTGTCTCGTATTTCCTGCAAGAATAATTCCATGTCCTCTACTCTCTGAAAAGTGAAAAGGAAGGGAGCCCGAATTTGTTCTTCATCCCTTTCACCTTCATAAAACATGGTGTTTATGAACAAGTCTCGCATTGCGATAGCCAACAAGGCATCATCCTCCTTCATCCTTAAGATCTTTGGCAGTTCAATCTTCCCAGCAAAGTGGTGTTGGTTCTCCTCCACCCACTTACAGGCCAGCTGAATGTTTTTCATCACCGCTGAGTCCTGTGTGCAATATAAGAATTCCAATAATAATGTAATTAATAAGTGCTGCTCATAAACACCTTTATGAAACAGGAAAGTTAAATACATAACCAAGTCAAGCAATACATAAACATTCCCTCTACATACATAGATTCCTGGTGTTGGGGTGATCTCCATGATTTCTGACTCAGGTGGAGTGACTTCCATGTCTTCTGGATTTGGTAGTTCTTGTTCCTGGGTGACTAGTTGTTGGACTTGACTGTGGGAAGTGACAAACATAACAATGTTTTAGACATGCATTGCTTTATTTTTTATATATTGCTTGCATACTGGAAATGCACAGTATGGAGGTTTTAATCTAAAGTATACTTATCAATATCATACCTTGTCAGAGGAAATGTCTGAATTATTATTAGTTTTTAGATGTAACACCTTGCTCAAGAGCACAACAACATTAAGATCCTTTTTTATATTTTTTACCACACTTCTGAATCAGCTATGATCGGCGCATCACTAATTAAAATACTAAGTAAAAGGCCTCAAATTTGAAGTACAATCTGGGATGTCTTTTTCTATAAATTCTTCAATAGGTAGATCTTGTCTTTCATAAAGGCCGAGGTCAGGGATCTTGGGCCTAAAAAGGTTGGTGACCACTGCTCTAAAGACACTCAGCGCAGTCAGCGGCGCAGGGAGCTAGATGCCCGCAGGAGTAAGTCTCGCGTGCGGCTGGGCTCGGGTCAGCAGAGCTGGGGTCAGCTCAAAGAGAAACTGGGCTTCTCTCTTCACTCAGAGCTCGCTCAGCATCTGCTGGAGAGGTATAATACAGTCATCCTGTTCTGCAGAGAGATACAGTTACCCTTAGACCCACTAGATGACAGTTCGCTGGATGCACGCTCTAGAATTCCTGTTGAATTGCATCGGCAGTTGTTGATTCTGGCTTTGAAGATGAGACTCAGATTTTTTCCACTTGTTCTGAACCAGCTCCAAATCATACAGGAAAAATACAGGAATTATGAGTGAGCTTAAAAGAAAGTATAGGCAGAAAAGCACAGATGAACTTGTGGTTTATGGAGTTCTAAACATATTGAGGTTTGGCTGACAGCCAGGTCTTTTAGTGGTGTGTGAAGCATTACAGATAAAATGTGGTCTAACTGACAATGACATTTGCTTTATGTTTTGCAGCTATGCTTCAAGAGTTTGTATCAAGTGCTCAGGTAAACCACAGATTCCCTCCTTAAAGGCATAGCACACCAACAAAAAGACAAGTCTGACATAATTGATTCTATAATACTTTATCATTTATCAAGTATATTAACCTCTATGATTTCTTCATAACTAAATGAAACATATTTTGTGTTGTTAAACATTCAAAAAAATGCAAGATTTTCTTTCTTAGTATTTTTGTCTTGTTGCCCATTACATATATTTGAAAATTCCTCAATCAAAATGCATTTATTTAAGGAATTACTTAAGATATTGTTTTCTGAAAAATGTATTACATTAAGTGAGTTTATATATATGTTAAATGTCTACTCTGGTTATACATTGGGCTTCTTTAGGTGATGGGAAAGGAGAGACAAGCACTTTGTCAACTACCAAGGAGTCTTTGCAGGAACTCATCCTGTTGGTCCACAACCATGGACAGACGTGCCCTCTTCCCCCTGTCCTGCATTCTGGCACTGTCAAAAAAACAACAGAGCGAGATCAGAGCTCTCATGTAGCAGGGAGAAGAGAAACTGAGTCCAAAGACTCATCTGAGGTGGACGTGTGTCTTAAATACACCTGCGAAAATGGACATCATTTTTTGTGGTCTCCTCTTAAGAAGATAATGACATCGAAAAATCAAGGTGATAGAACTGCATTTAGCCCAAAGAGACTCAAACAACGAGGCAGGAGGCGGCTGAAGGAGCCAGACACAGACATAGAAAGACAAGAAGTGGTGACTGGATTAAAAACCAGACAACAACAACAAGAAAATGCTGAAGTTACCACAAATGACACAGAACAGAAACACAAGACAAGGTCTGAAATGTTTAGGGAAAACAAGAATGCAGGTGACTGTTTTAAAGTATTTTTCTTAAAGAAATATGCTGTTTTTGTTATTCAAGGACTAACTACAACCATGTGTTAAGGTGTTACAATGACTCCTGGGATACAGGAAGGAAATTATGTGGCTGTTGAATTTTTACATTCAGATCATGGGTATTTATCTTTGCATATTTGGTTGTTTAGTTGTATTTACAATATTTTGTTTCAGTTTTAAGTCTCTTTGATTTTTTTTCTGACTGTCAGATCCGCAGCAGACAGTGATGAGCTGACAGGAGATGGACCTGCAAGAGTTTCCATTGAAAACCAAAGTCCCACCGATATGTATGTGTGCTATTCATTTGTACTGAAACACTTAATGACTGAAAAAGACATAAGTTAAATTAACTCTCTGTTTCCTAGCAATGAGGACGTTGCAGTGCTGAATTTGACCAACAGAGGGACCCAGAGTAAAGCAGATCCTCCTGAGACACACAATGCCAACAAAAAGGCAGGAACTCTTAAAGGGTTAGTTCACCCAAAAATGAAAATTCTGTCATTAATTACTCACCCTTGTGTTGTTCGAAACCCGTAAGACCTTCATTCATCTTCGGAACACAATTTAAGATATTTTTGATGAAATATGAGGGCTCTCTGACCCTCCCATAGACAGCAAGGTAACTACCACGTTCAAGGTCCAGAAAAGTACCAAGATGATCGACAAAGTAGTCCGTGTGACATCAGTGGTTCAACTGTAAAGTTACGACGCTACGAGAATACTTTTTTGCGCAAAGAAAACAAAAATAATGACTTTATTCCACATTTTGGTCTCTACTGCGTCACTTGTGGAGTATCATGAGTATCATGATACGAGCGTTCGGGTCAGCGCCGGCACCGCCACATGCTCGCGTCATGGTACTGTCGTCAACGTGCGTCCAAAGTGATGCAGTAGAGACGAAAATGTGGAATAAAGTCATTATTTTTGCTTTCTTTGCGCAAAAAAAGTATTACCGTAGCTTCGTAACTTTACAGTTGAACCACTGATGTCACACGGACTACTTTGTCGATCATCTTGGTACTTTTCTGGACCTTGAACGTGGTAGTTACCTTGCTGTCTATAGGAGGGTCAGAGAGCCCTCATATTTCATCAAAAATATCTTCAATTGTGTTCCGAAGATGAACGAAGGTCTTACAGGTTTGGAACAACACGAGGGTGAGTAATTAATGACAGAATTTTCATTTTTGGGTGAACTAACCCTTTAAAAATATCAGGTGATTTGTCTAACAGCACATATTTCTGTATTTTGATTCCCAATAAGTTGAATGGAACCTGTACAAGTTCTGTACATTTTTCTCTCCAGGCCACAGTTACTGAAAGATGACGTGTCCCAGATTGGTGGCAAAAGAAAACGATTTGTTCTTTAATTTGACCAAGATAAATATATTAGATTAATATATATTTTTAAACCAACCTATAGGTTTAAAAAACATTTATATAGTATTTTATATTTATATCGTTTTTTATGTATAGATAGTTATGTATATTTTAAATATTAGAACATTTATTTATGTATTTGGTAATATTTCCATGGTTTTATTTTGAATGTCCTGTTGCATCATATGTTAACGTCATATTTAGATGATGCTTATCTCTGTGTTTACAGAAAATCAACATCCAAAGTTATTTTGCCTTGCGAGTTTGAAGGCTGCGATAAGATTTTCTCTAGTCTGCAATATCTAAATGTGAGTGCTGAGTCAGTATTGACATGTCCATGACACATTCATTAATCTTTACTGGACTAAAACAACTCTGAGAGAGAAGAACTCTAATTTCCATTATTCTGCACTGATCCATAAGAAAAGGTTTTATGGAAAAGCATCTCACAATCTGTTCTTCTCCACAGCATCACGTCAAGTACCAACATCTCCAGCAGAAGACCTTTATCTGCTCGCACCCCACCTGCAGCAAGTCATTCGACTTTAAGAAGCATCTGAAGGAGCATGAGAAGTTACATAGTAGTGAGTTTTTAGTCCATATGAATGATATTTGTGATAAATGTCATCCAGTGTACTTCTGGACAGGCACTATATGTATGAGTATATGCATGCATTGATATGTCCAGACAGTATCTCAACATTAGTCTATTCAGGTAAAAAAAAAAAAAAATGAATATGGTAATTAAATTATTCTAATCCAGTGGTTGTCAGCTTGTGGGATATAGGTCTGTTTTGCAGATAAACAACAATGCTGAATGCAATAATAGAATGAAAAAAATAGGTTTATTAACTTTTAAAAGAGAGAAGAAAACACTTCCCATGTCTTTTGTTGTTACTGCCTTACTGCCTTACTTTTGTTGTAAGGCCGGGTATCTAATCAGACTCTACTGTATTTTGACACAAATTCATCTATATTTCATTCAGTTAATTTGGTAGAAGATTAAAGAGGTGCCAAAATGGATAAGGTTAGGGATAGGTTTGGTGGTATGGTTAGCTTTAAGGGTTGGTTAAGGAGTAGTGGTAGGGTCAACAGTGTACTTAGATGTAATTACAGAAATTAATTACAGATGTAATTACCTTAAGGTATTTTAAAATATAAGTACGATATAAAAACATGTACTTACAAAATAAGCGCATTGTATCAAATGATTATTTTAGATGTTAGTGCATTGTAGGTAGAGACACTTAATATAAAGTTGTTCCAAAAAATTTCCTCAAAAACTATGAACAATTATAGAAGGTACAAGAAAATATAATAATGTAATGTTAAAGTTTTTCTTATTTAATATAACGTTAATACTATTAATATTGTTGTTATAATTGTTGGAATATTGTTAATTTTGTTGTCCAATGTAAAATCTGTTTCCGCAAGCAAAACCATTGGACAAGTACAGTAAATTAGTGTTTTTCATGCTGTGGTTCTCTCTTTATGATTATTTGTGTGTGTGAGATCAGAGAGACTATATCTGTGAGTTCTGTGCCCAGGCATTCCGAACCAGCAGTAACCTGATCATCCACTGCAGGATACACACCGGAGAGAAACCGCTGCAGTATGAGTTTCACCACACACACGTGCACTAGGCCCTTTGTTTATACCAAAACTCCCAAACTAATTTTTACATGAACATCCCATCAATATTTAACAGAACAACTATATTGCTCAAGGGTTTGCTACTACAATTTTCAGCTCCAGATATAACCCGCACCGTCTCTCTTTTTTAGGTGTGAGGTGTGTGGCTTTACCTGTCGACAGAAAGCCTCTCTGAATTGGCACGTGCGAAAGCACAATGCTGAGAGCACCTACCAGTTCCCCTGTGAGATTTGCGGTCGGCGCTTTGAAAAGAGAGACAATGTCACGGCTCACTGTAGCAAGAGCCACCCAGACTATAATACACCCACTCCGGAACTGACTCTTCCCCTTCCTCTCTCTGACCCACTCCCACATCCCTCGGGGCACAGCGGATCTTCCCCTTCTGCTTCCAAGAATCACACTGCTGTAGAATAACATTTGTTGTGTAGTGTTTTGATTAAATATGCAACAATTTGTGCATCCTTGACCTTGAGCAAACTCTGCTGTGTGGCTAATTGGTATTAATAAAAAAAAGCTGAGAAATTGCCATGTGATGCATATCTGAGACATTAATTCGTTTTTTTGATGGTTTTTAAAATATAAATAGGTCTTGTTTTGCCATCATGCAGAGGCTGTGTTTATGTAAAATGACCTAAATCAGCATACTAAGGTCAGTGTATTAATGAATAATAATTTTTTATTATTAAATTTGTCATTAACTTATATCACACATTGCTCATGGGTAACTATGAGCCTTCAATAATATGGTCAATACCCATTAATTGTCAATTTGTTGAAACTGCTTTTAAATTTTTGGCACATATAAATATGATTAATTGTGACATTGTGTCATTTAAATTATTGACTGAACTTGATATATATAATTTTGTGATGGAATTGTGTGCTGCTTTTAAAAAATATCAAAAAGACATTTTTGCTCTTTTATTATTGTATTTTTATTTCTTTTTTTCCTGTGCAAATGCATAAATCGCAGTTATCAGAAAATATTTGATGCGCACTTTGCCAAATTTGCTTTTGTGCTGAGTACTTCATTTTTGTGGCCATTTGGACAGCGGTTCGTCTTTATGAATTTCGGAAAAGAAATGAATTTGCATACCTCACAATAATCGAACTCAAGGGTTCCCGCCTTTTGTAAAGGCTTACTTTGACAAACACTTTATCCAATGACTTTTGTCTTTGGCAGGTAGGCGTTGCCTCATGAAATTGAACCATTATTCTATTGGCTAGGAAAAGCGGCATTAGAAAAGCAGTTGCCATGCCTACAAAGTTTTGCTCCGGTGACGCTTGAGTGACGGGAAAGGTGAACCAATAGGAGCACTGGGTGGGTGGGGCTTTTCGAACACTGTCAACTATTCGTTCAAACCTTCTTACTCTCCATAACACATTGAACGCGGCACGGTGGGAACAACTGCCGGTGTTTACCGGCGATGAAAATGAGCCAGGTTGTTTTTACTGAAACCACAACCAGGTAACACACTTTTTTACGTTTCTATGCACAGTATGAAGTCATTGGTTATGCTGTTGAAACATTTTACCTGGAAAGCAACATAATAGGCGTCCAGCAGTAGGCAGCGCATCGTGTGTGTCACTGACAGTGATGAGGCTTTCCCCGGCGGAGCATCTCTGTTTCAGTGTGTCAGCATTGTGGAGCAAAAGGTTGATCATTTCCAACAAGATCAGTTTCAGTTTGGGCTGGCGGCGCACAGCATGTGTTGTGCTGTTTCCCATCAGTGCATATATTCCCTCTGTCTAGAACAAAGACTTTAGACACGGTGCTTTCTGGAAGGAAGTTGCTGTGACAGAATAATGATGGGCAAAGTAATGGAGATTTTGTGTCTTTTAGGTGGAATTTGTTTGTATTTCATTTGTTTGTTAATTTATATGTGTTTTATTCTATGTATTTTATCTTTTGTACAGTCTATGTACAGTAATATGACATGCCTAACTAGTATCTAACTAGCATCTACATTTATGTTATTTGGCCTAATGCTTATTTTAAAGTATTAGTAAATAATCCATCGATGACTTGTTCTTTTTAGTTTAACTAGCAACTATACATTTAGTTACAAGGACAGTATTTATTAAAATAGTGACTCTATTAATCAATTCAATTTGTCACTAGTACTTATTCATTACATACAGGTACTATTCTAGTAACAAATTCCACATTATCTTTGGTTCATTATTCACTAAAGAATAAGTACTTTTTCCAGTTGTTACTGGTACCTAATTTTACTAGTAGCTATTTATTTGGCACTAATACTTGAATCTGTCCCAGCTTTGTTTGCATTTATGTTTTAGATTCTAGTATTCATTTATGAGACACTTGTGTCTCTTCCAGTTGAATCTATAGAATAGTTAGTAAAACTGGAATAGGTACCAGCAACAGCAATTGGAAGTGCATAGATATTATATGAACCTAAAATTTCCATTCAGTGACAAATATGTTCAAATTGTAAATAGTAACAATAGAACAGTTAACCTGCTTGTCATTAATGGAATAGAGAATAGTAGAAAAAAATTTATATTAGTATGTAATTAATAAGTATACTAGCGACTGAACAGATACAGATCACTAATAATAAATAAATTCTACCAGTATTTAATAGAAGTACTAAAATCAAATGAATGGTTACTAGTGAAACTAAAACATGTAAAAAAATAAATAAATAACTGGATTACTTTCTAGTAACAAGTACTGGTTAGTTTTAAGGAATACTTTTTAGAATGGCTTGTCTTTATATCCGTGTAGATTCACTAAGATTCTAAAAGCAGCTCTATTTAGACTGTCGAATTTCATGCCTTAAAGGACGCATTATTTGTTTTGCAAATTGTGTGGATGAATAATGTCCCTGTCATTCTTAATGAAGTGGATCAGGAGAAATATCTCTAGAAGTGGCCAGTCGCCTGTTCGGAAGTGTGGCAGGTTATTTCTAGAAACACTTGGTGCTCAGTGTCACATCCTGAGCTATAGTGCCATGTGGTTGTTGATTTGTGGAGAATTGCTGCAGGCTAGTTTTTCATATTCCCACAAAGTCAAAAGAGTTTGCAAAGCTGAGTTGTTGTGCAACACAGATCCTGGGGCTCATATACACTGTACTCTACTCTACTTAACTTCACTGTGTGATTTCTTGCAGCGTGTTTTGTTAATGTGCGGCATGGTATTCCCGCCTCATGATAAGAGTCGTGTGATGCAGATGCAGATTGTCCTTTGAGTATGTGTCTTGACTTGTTCTTGTTTAGTCTATCCTTAAAGGAACCCAGAGATTCACAAAATTATAATCTGTAACTACAGTACACAAACATAACATTCTTAAGACAATTAAGATGTACTTGAGGGCATTGAGATGTGGCTAAGATAGGAAAGAATGCAGGAGTGATTTTAAAAACAAATTAACAAACCATTCAACCATCTGATTCTTGTAATGCAGATTCTCGTCAAATTGTGAAAAATTCCGAGAGGTTCTCGAGTTAAGTGACCAGTAAAAAAAATTCAAAAAATTGACAAAAAAAATCACAGACATTGAATTCATAGACTGATTTATCAAATCATTATGAATTAAACTGATTGTTAACATAAATTTGATGACCAAGTGTTTCTGTTCAGTTATGTAATTGACAGTTATACATCAGTGTATGTTTTCATTTTACATTATTAGCTATTAAATACTCACCTCATTTTGCACTCATTAAGAAAAGAGAGCAAAGTCTAGTTGCAGTATTTTAAATTTCAGAGAAATGGGAAAAAATAATCAGAAGTTATGGATTAGTAAAAATGAGATAAACCCAAGATATTGGGTATGAAGTTGCATAATTGTATGCTAATTGTTTTGAGATTTTGGTTTCGCCCAGGTACGTGCTATTTAAAAAAAAATTTTTTACATGAAGACCATCCTAATGCTATTTCAAGATTTCAGTGCACACATGTAGACATTATTAAATCAAACATACGACTTTTGTTAGGGTCGTCAAATTGAAATTTTGATTCTGTACCATGACTAGTCACATTATGCATTTTGACTTCATGTCCAAAACTGTTGGTTTTTAACACTTCTAGCATTGCACTTATCTCAGAATAAAAGCTAACAACTTTTAAAGCCTGTTAGAAATTCAGCATCAGCATTGACGGCACTGCAAGGGATAAAAGGCTTTTAATAGAAATGAAACTTATGATCTGGTTTTCTGAGTAGTGTGAGATGACGTCTGAGTCTTGCAAACACAGTTTAATTTTTAGGCCAGGACTGAAGACTGATATTGCTGCATTTCCTCTGTATGCACGAGAGATATCATCCAGTGCTGCACGGCTCGCCAGTGCAAGCATGCATGCAGAATGCATTGTTTTTTGTTTTGTAGAGTAAGCTATTCTCTCTGTTAAAAGTTTCACACTGATTTTGGAGGCCATTTCATACATCCTGTACATCCTGTCTCACCTTATATAAAAGACTGATCAGAGCTCTGAACCCTGTAGTCATCTGGATAATTCTGAGTCTTACTGAAGTGAAGAGCTTTGAAAGGGCTCTACATCTCATCTCCAGCTTTTAGCTTCTTAATAGGTTAGCTTCGTCAGTTCATGCTGAAGTTAACAGTAGATACTTTGACCCCACACCGGGCCTGCTGAGTTGTAGTCAGTCTGGCACTTTTTAAGTCAAGGTAGATCCATTATCAGGCCCGAAAGAGTCGAGACACATGAAAGCCAGTGCGGTTTGAGATTAGAGGGATCATTCAGAAACACCCCTGACTCTGAAGACCTGCAGAGAAGGATAGAGAGAGGGAGGTGGGGGATGCGCAGTACTTTGCATTTAAATTTGAATCGGCTTGCATTGGTCCTGTTGATTAGACTTCATCAGAGGGAACCTGCTGCATTAGCATGGACTCTCTCATTATCCGAGGAACATCATCTTATTTTAGCAGACCAAAAACCTGAAATTTCAAGGAGTCTGGTCCAGTCCTCCTGTCACTTGTTTTGTCATCCGCTGTTAACTAGTGGTCGTTAGCATCAGCATTGAAAGATTTGTAGTTGTGTGTCAGTGCTGCTGGCTCACCTACATCCCTGCCAAGCAGGACAGCGCCTGTGGGCAAAGCTTGGCAACCCGTGGCAGATGGAGGATTTCTGTCTGTTGGGCTGCCTAGAGGCACACAGAAGCCTGGAGAAGGGAACGTGGCTCTGAGCCTAGCCTGATTGTGGGTCATTGTTACATGAATTGGATGTGGGACTTTTCCATAAGTATCAATTGGTGTCAGTTAGTTTATAATTAAATGTTTTAATAGAATAGTTCACCCAAAAATGAAAATGTCGTCATTTGATCATCCTCAACTCCTTGTTATTTTCTGAAACGCTTATTTGCTGAAACGCAAAAGGAGATCTTGGGGAGAATGGCTAAGATCCTTCCTTACAAGGAAAGTGAACGGTCATTTATACTGTTAAGCTTCAAAAAATATCATAAAAGAAGACCGTACAAATCATATTACAAGTCTTCTGAAGTCATATGGTAGCTTTGTGTGAGGAACATACCCAAAATCACAAATGATGTATGCTGTAGTCAATAATGCACTGTAAAAATATCCTATTAAATTTGTTAAATAAAAACATAACCTTATGGCTGCCAGAAACGTATAGCCCTCTATTTCATCAAGTGATATAATGTTTAGAGCCCGACCGATATGGGTTTTTTGGAGGCCGATGCCGATACCGATATTAGGGAGTAAAAAATGACGGATACCGATATATCGACCGTATTTTTTATGTGTAGGCTATATTATAACACTTCCCATTCGTGTGTCCAAACTTTTGACTGGTACTGTATATAGAATACAGTATCAAGCCTACATAAACAGAATATATATACATAAACACATTTTTTGCAATTATAACTCAAATGTGGTGATCAAACACTTATAATGATGTGACAAACATAGGCCTATGTAGTGGAGGCAGGGTATTTAACAATTTCACAATAAACTTTATTATTCAAAACAAGTCTGACATCAGTGCACTTATAACAGTAAACTTCACTTCACTTATTATAAATAACTTAACAAACACAAATAGAACAAAATATATATATACTACTTCAGTCTGTGTGCATTGAATTTATTTAATACACGAGTTTCACAATTTGAGTTGAATTACTGAAATAAATGAACTTTTCCACAACATTCTAATTTATTGAGATGCACCTGTAGCATTGAGTCTCTCCAACTAGGTTACAACGAGCGAATCACATCCACTGCTCCAGGTGTGTGTTCACGGTGTTTGTTTGTGCACTTGCAGAGGCGGCGGGCTTGAGAACGGCGCGGCCAGCGATTTCGACGGAGCGTCCGGCGGGCTTGCAGCAACCATATGTGATGACTCCGGGCTGGACTCCGCATCGTCCACGGTGAAGCCGATCCGGCGATCGACAGCGCAAAGTTGTAGTATTTCCTCAACAATTAGGTAGGTGTGGCTGACTCTTAACTTTTATAAAGAAT